GATTGTAAACAACCTTTTGTCAGGAAAGGCCCAGAACTTCATGACCTGTCTGGGTTGGCTTGGCCGGCTGAGAGTATGCCTGGCGAGGCCCTTCCACCCCAGCAGGGCTTTCTTTCCAATTATTTTTTTAAGGTGGGCCGTTTTCCTGCCTCTTATAACCAGTGTTTCCTCTAAGCTGAATTAGTGCGAGCTAGCTCATGGTTTTTTAGTCTCCGGCTCACACATTTTTGTCTCAGCTCAGGAAGGAGGGCTCCAGAGCAAACGAATACATGCAGCAGCCAAATCGCTCGCTCAGAACTTTAATGCCAGTAGCTCGCAAAGTGGAATCTTTGCTCACCTCCAGCTTGCACATTTTTGCCTTTGCTCAGGAAGGAGGGCTCCAGAGCAAGCTAATTGATGCAGCAGCCAAATCGCTCGCTCAGAAGTTTAATGCCGGTAGCTCACAAAGTAGAATTTTTGCTCACAAGACTCCACAGCTTGGAAAGGAGCATTGCTTATAACCAGGGGTCATTTTGTAGAAAAAGAGGTGCTGGAGCTCATTAGCATAACTTATTTGCATATGCCACACCCCTGACATCAGAAGCCAACACCCACCGCTCAGGCGCCACTGGACTGTTTTGGATTGCTAGCTATTGGGGGGTGGGGGGAACGTGCAGATCTGTCCTCGCAGAGGAGGGAGAGTTTGTACCTACATAAAGCTTGGTCTTAAAGGTGCCACTGGACTGTTTTGGACCTGGTGGCCGGGGGGGTGGGGCTCTGCAGCTTACCTGGTTGCTGCTTGCTCTGACTGAGGGCTGCTGGGAGCAGGGGGCGGGGCTTGTTGCATGGGCCCACCCCCTGGGCTCTTTACTGCCGGAGCTCCACTCCTGTGCGCTCCTGCAGGAAATGACCCCTGCTTATCACCCCCACCCCACCCGATGTTGCAACAATTCCATGGGACTCCGGCGTGGCGTGGGCCCAAGACCTGGTATATTGACGTGCTATATTTGTGTGCCCCCCCCCCCCGCCAGCATCTGAATGTGCTGCTGTGAGCTGGGATCATGTTGCAGAGCATGAACTCGGCATTAGTTCACGAGGAGGCGTTTCTCTGCGCAGGCGGATTAGTACCTGCTCTCAATGGGAGCCAGGGTTTTTGGGGGGAGGGAGGTGGTACACCCCGCCTAGGATGGCATAAAACCCAAATGCGTGGCTAGGAACTGCTCTGCGAAAGTTCTCCCTTGTCCGAAAGCCTTGGCTGGAGGGAAATGAGGAAGGAGAGGGCTAGGGTTTCTCCCTGCTCTATGAGCTATTAAATCCAAAGAGTTTTCAGCTGAATCTTAGGAAGAACTTCCAGACAGTCAGAGGGGTTCCTCAGTGGAACAGGCTTCCTCGGGAGGTGGTGGGCTCTCCTGAGATCCAGTTTGGTTTCGTGATTAAGTGCGCGGAATCTAATCTGGGAGAACCGGGTTTGATTCCCCCACTCCTCCACATGCAGCTGCTGGATGACCATGGGTCAATCACAAGTTCTATCTATCTATCTATCTATCTATCTATCTATCTATCTATCTATCTATCTATCTATCTATCTATCTATCTATCTATCTATCTATCATCAGAGCCAGTTTGGTATAGTGGTTAAGTGTGCAGACTCTGATCTGGGAGAACTGGGTTTGATTCCACAACTCCACCACTTGCAGCTGCTGGATGACCTTGGCCAAGCCATAGTTCTGATAAGACCTGTCCTTGAATGAGCAGTTCTTGAAAGAACTCTCTCAGCCCCACCTACCATGTTTCCCCGAAAATAAGACACTGTCTTATTTTATTTTTTTCAAGAAGACACACTAGGGCTTATACCACAAATGCACAGAAATCCTGCTAGGGCTTATTTTTTGGGTAGGTCTTATTTTCGGGGAAACAGGGTACCTCACAGGGTGTCTGTTGTGGGGAGAGGAAGGGGAAAGGAGTTTGTAAGCCACTCTGAGTGAAGGACGGGGTATAAATCCAGTCTCCTCCTCCTCCTCCTCTTCTTCTTTGGAAGTTTTGAAGCAGAGGCTAGATGGCCATCTGACAGCCATGCTGGTTTTGTGACTCAGTATGAATTTACGGAAAAATAGATGACACTGTGTATAATAGTTGTATGCTTAAGGTAGATCTATTTCGTGCATTTTAGTTTTCTTTTTACATTTTTCTATACTGTTGTATAAATATTAGTGTCAGGTATTGCCAAACATAGGTTCACCGAAACAATACATCAAAGGGCAGGTTTACATTCTGTTCAAACATTCACACAGCACCTTGTCAGTTTCACAATCGCTAGTCCCACAATCACTACCCAATATTGAATACCGTCTTATTCAAGGACAGTGATATACATACAAGACATAAGGTGCAATATATTCTCTGTCAGTATAAAACTCTTAAAATAGCAGCATTTTTCTAGGGTCTCTGGAACCCTTGCGGCAAACATAATAACTTATCTAGGAGAACATATCTCTCAAGTTCTATCAGGCAGCCACACTATGAATTTAGTAGAAGCCAAACATGAGAGATCACGGGAGGAAGGGGAAATCCAAAAACAATATCCGTGACAAAAATAATGAAGAGTCAATAAAGATGTGTTTGCAAAATCATTTACTGTAGTAATTCTGTAGAAGATTCTGTTCTATTATCGCTCACATGCTAACGAATGCTGCGCAATATAAACAATTCGTTTCACAATAATGGCTTCATCTGAGCGTGTAGCAATCACAATTCTTATCAATTTCTACTTATCAACTCTTGAAGGAAACATTCCATGTTGACTCTGTAATAACAGAACCCATTGTGAAGACCTTGGCTTCTGTAATTAGAGAGTCAACATGGAATGTTTCCTTCAAGAGTTGATAAGTAGAAATTGATAAGAATTGTGATTGCTACACGCTCAGATGAAGCCATTATTGTGAAACGAATTGTTTATATTGCGCAGCATTCGTTAGCATGTGAGCGATAATAGAACAGAATCTTCTACAGAATTACTACAGTAAATGATTTTGCAAACACATCTTTATTGACTCTTCATTATTTTTGTCACGAATGTTGTTTTTGGATTTCAACACTATGAATGTAGGCAGAGCGTGAGAGGGAGGGCAGGAAGGGGTGAACCAGTGCTTGGATCTGGTGGCTCTTTCATATATCCCCAGGGAGATTCCCATTACCACGATGGGGCATCACAGCCCCAGACAGAGTGTTCCATCTATACCTTGTGGCTAATAGCCACTGAGGGACCTTTGCTCTTTAAGCAACGGCTGGACAAACACTTGTCAGGGATGCTCTAGCTGATCTTGCATTGAGCAGGGGGGTGGATTAGATGGCCTGTAGGGCCCCGTCCCACTCTGGGATTCTATGATTCTGTATAAGAACATAAAAGAAGCCATATTGGATCAGGCCAATGGCCTATCCAGCCCAACACTCTGTGTCACACAGTGGCCAAAAACACCAGGTGCCCTCAGGAGGTCCAGCAGTGGGACCCGGACACTAGAAGCCCTCCCACTGTTGCCCCCCCCCCCGCACCAAGAATACAGAGCATCACTTGCCATGGCCTGAGAGTTCCTATCTATACGTTTGGGCTAATAGACACTGATCGACTTC